TGGCGTTGTTAAAAATATTTATGGTTTTTGTTTTTGGGTTAATATTTAAATTTTCCTTACCTTTAAAACTTTGCCATCCTTTTTGGGTTAAAAATACCCCCCCCCCCCCCCCCCCCCCCAAAGAATTGCACCAAAAAACATATATTGCACAATATACACCACACTACAGTACTAGCAACTAAGCTCAACAGTGGTTTTTTAGGTCAAGCCCAAGTGGGAAGGTGATATTGATCTTGCATGAAGCACTTTTGTTAAAGCAACTAGTCACTCGATCGATACATCTGTGATTGAAATGTCCAAAGAGTGGTACGCGGAACACGTATGTAGGTAGCTATGTACATGTATATGTAGCTTGGCCTGCTCATCCGTCCGCCCTATTTTCTCCACCACTGCATGTCCAAGTCGAAGTCCACCTTGACCTGTTTTGAGCACACCATACACCGAGCCCAACCTACACCTCCAATTCTACGGTCCAGTACGTATTATACTTATACACCGTAAAAAAAAAAAAAAAAAAAAAAAAAGTCTCCCGGAGAGGGAGAAGTTCCCTCATCTGGGATACGATAGATTGCTGCTGAATATAATAGACGAAAAAAAAAGGTGGAAGAGGAGCATAGTCTGCGTTGTATGTACAAAATTTGTTTGCCTCAAAAGTGTTTCCCGACCTTGACCCCCCCGTCCGTGCATACTAAGAAAGAACACACCGAACGAATAAGCAACTAGAGACTAGTAACCCTGCGAGAGAGTGTGCGTGAGAACGTGGGCGAAGGCAGGCCAACTTAGCTTTTTTTTCTTTTTGGCCATTCCCCAGTCTAATTGTACAGATGAGATGACAGGGCAAGTTAGATATCGCATTCTTCTCTTCTACGTGGAAAACCTAAACCTCTTTTTTTTTTTTTGCCAGGTGGAGATGGTTCCGATTTCTAGTACAAGATGGTGGTGGTGGTGGAGGTAGTGTGGTGGGCCTTCGGATGTGCCCTATTATAACACTTCTCCAATGATTTTAGCTGCTTCCCGGTAGGTTTGCAGTAGCTTCTCGCATTTCTCGCGCTCCTTCTTGACACCGTCGTCTTCGTAAAGGAGTTCCTCAAATAGAGATTCCTTGTAGAGTTCACTGACAAGCCTGTTTTGCACCACGTCTTTGCAGTGATTGACGAGCAAATGCATAACGGCTTTGGGCACTTGATCAGCGATAGACTCGCGGACAATGTTAAAATACGAGGAAATAAGTGCGCGGATTAGCTCCGTCTCCATTGCCTCTCGATCGCTTAAGGCCGGTTCCACATCGCCCTGCAAGTAAACGTGTCAGTTGGGACAACAAACCAAGCTACAAAACCTGACTTACCGACTGCGGCCCAAAACCAAACCCGGCAGCTTTCGGGCTCTCAAGCTCCTCGCGGGCTAACGACGAGGACAACGCCGGTCGATGCGTTAATTTGTCTTCACTACGTCTAATACTTTGACTGAAAGTGGGTTCCACGCCCTGGCTGACATGGCGCGGAAGTGCAGAAGGAGCTCCAGGCCCGGAACCTTGGATTGGTTGACCATCCTTTCCAAAGAAGTAGGTCAAGAACGAATCGCGAGCAGTTCCAATCGCCTGCTGATTGAACCGGTTAGGCGAGTCCGAGCGCGTGCCATTCATGGCGGCGGCAATACTGGAAGTCCCGTTCTCACGGACAACAGGTGACATGCTCCGTGATCCTACTCCGGCTGGCTTTCGCGTTTGTGAAGCTTCAGTCCTATCGTGTTCAGGACCTTCCTCTTCGTTTGGTGTCTCGGTGCCATTTGTTCCAAATTCCTTCAACCGCTTCTTTTCTCGGCGGTCTCTTTCTTCCTGGATTAACTTCTTCCTCTCGCGCTCTTGTTTATTGCTGACCACGTGGCTCATGGCCGCCGCTGCCCCTAAGAAATTAGGGTGGTTTGTATTGATGTAAGCCCGTTGGATAGCAATAAGGGATTCGACGTAGGACGACGACGGTCCCAATCGCTCTCTCAGGAGATCCGATACAACCTCAATAAGCTTGGCCTGAAGTCTGGGATACCGGGAGAGCTCAGTCGAACCGCATGTGTGGCATATCTTAATCAACTCTTCATAAACCAACTCGACGCAGCGTTGACTGGGGAGCTCTAGCAGCTTGATTTGAGGTTTGACTAGTAGGTCAAAGGCCATTTCCGGCACAAATAAGCTTGGTCGAGGACCAGTCGAGTTGCGGATGGCTGTTCTGATATCGAGAGCAGAAAGATTGGAGGTAGGATCGATTGTCTCCAATGCACTACCAAAGACCGAGTTGAAAATGTAGTAAATCCGCGCGCCTCCAGACAGCTCCTTGGTCGATATATCTGTCGAGGTACCGTCGATGGACGAAATGAAAGAAGTAGCAAATCGAGTCATAAGCTGAAGAATCATAGACCCTCGGTGCTCCTTTCCGCTAAAATGCATATCTCCATAGCTTGCAAGTTCCTGTTGAGTTTGGCCCATCAGCGTGTTAAGGCGCGCCTTGATGTCTGGTAGCCGCTCCCGAATGTGTGCCATCAGAGTCTGGTTAAGGGTCTTGGCTAGATATTGGGTTCCGCATCGCATAGAGATCGTTCGGTAGGCAGGGTGGTGTCGGAAAAATTCCGACTCTGCCTTAAGAGCATCTTCCATGGGTCGATTGCCCTGAATATCTTGCTGTGATCGATTGACCACACCGATAAAGCCCAACTTTAATGGGTACACTCGGCCGGACAAGATATCTAATGCATTTGTACCGTGATCCATCAAGTCTACCTTGGTGAGAACACCGATCGTCCGACGGCCCAAAGGATCAACATGTCTGGCAAGTTTTAAAGCTTCCGAGTTAACAATGTCGACGTTTGCGGGGGAGACGGCGAGAATGATACTGTTGGGCTTGGCAATGTATTCAGAAATGAGGGTTCGAGTCTGCTTCTCAATATCGGCTGGTTGATCACCGATGGGAACCTGTTGCTCATTGGATCAGTTACTGGGTGAAGTCTTTTTTTTTCTCCTCTATTTGTTAGGTAGCTAGCATACCTTGGTGAGACCTGGCAGATCAACTAGAGTTAAGTTAAGAACGTGGGGAGAATAAATTTTTAGATTGATGGGTTGTCTGTTGATGCCCTTATTATTGCCGGCAACACGAGAGGTCTCATTTTCAATCTCACGCTTGACATCTGCAAAGTCGGTAAACCTTCGACCGGGTGTATGATGGAACTCAGCCCACTCTGAGCGGCGTGCTTGAGTGGGACTCTTGTAAGCGGCCTGTAGATCTGGTTCGGACGGGTCCTCTTCAACGTTGATTAATTGCAAAATTAACGGACGACGTGTTACAATGCCACTTCCTCGGGGCAAAAAATCGCGGCCAACAATATTCTCAAGTACCGAAGACTTGCCAGCTGATTGCGAACCGACGACAACCTATGGTGTAGACAAGAGTAAGCACGGGTGAGAGTATAAATCTTAGATTCGAAGGGAAAGGGGAAAGGGAAAAAAAAAGGCCTCGGACATACAATCTGAGGTAGGTCGAGGGAGTCTGTACCGATTGTATTAAAGACCAGGTCCTGTAGCTGGTTAACAATCCGTAACAGGTCGTCTCCTAGAGCAGCCATTTTTAGAGATGTTAAGCTCTCTCTATTAGCGTTAACAATGACAGAATTAGAGAGAATATTTGATCTCTTTCTGCTCAATTTGTGATGCTATCGCCGACAACAAAAATGCTGTTGGGTACCGGTTTATCTGCGGTCAACAAGGAATCGTAGGCGCCACCGTTAAGACAAACTCTCAACCGAGAAAGCACAAAAGACTACACGACGCAGTTGAAAAGATTCTAGTAGACTAGAGAAAAGGCTCGAGTCTAGTGATGAGGGGGGGGGGGGAGTGTAAAGTTGATGTGTTGCAGCCCAGTGGGTGCAAAACGACGAGGCGTTGAAAAATATGGAAATATCTACTGCTAAAAGTTTCCATATGCACATACCAGACTTGGTTCTTATTAAACATTTCATGCGCATAGGTATGTAAAGTACATAATGTTAGGTACCTTTGGGTCCTGCACTTGAATGCACTTAATGCACTTGGACTGTTGGAGAGAGAGAAATACATGATGCTACATGACGCCACGCTGAATACTAATACCCCGCCGCTGGTAGGTAGAGTATCTCGCAAGTACCCCATTTTCGGAGTTCCCACCCTGGTGGTTTTTGTCACCCAATCACTTCACCTCCCATTAGGTCAGACAGCTAATACCGAAGTACGTATCGAGATTATAGCTCTGAGGGTACTTTTTTTTTTGGACGTACATTCCACATGCATTATAAGGCACAGACTGGAAGCCTTGTCCCAAATATGTACAGGAAGATTTTCTCCCAATAGCCATCTCGACATCCACTCAGATCCCTACGACTCCATTATACTACTTGGCTACTGTACATACTCTCTTCTCGTACGTTCTTGTGGGAAAAAAAAAAATTATAAAACCGTTTAGCGCGGGAGGATGGTAGCGATAACCCGCATTCCAATCATTTTCACGATGCTTGAGACAGGTTTCCTCGGGGGGGTAGGAATAGCACGGAGTCAAAAAGTATGTAACTGAATATAGTTCTAACCTCGGGTATCATAATTTCATATACAGTTACCATTAGATATTATATAAGGCAATCATTTTTTGCAGAAAAAGCCATCGTAAACTCATGAGCTTGTAGGGTTTTTTTTTCTTTTTCTTTTTTTCTTTTTTTTTTTTTTTGTTCATGTCCCGCGGATATGACTCAAAAGTTGCTGAAGTCTTCGCACCGCTTTTAACTTTGAAGGTGAGGCTTCTTCATAAGGCACTGACAGGCTAGTAAGCTCTTCTCGAGCCTTATTTACTAGAGGCCCGAGCTCTCCCCATACTTCATCTGTGTAACTAGAAAGGACTCCCTGCCATTGGCTCACCCAGATGCTCTTCGCTTCTTCTACATTTGATGTACCGATCAAATTGGCATACTCGTGTATGCCTCCGCTATTCGACCCAAGATCAGGAAAGAAATTAAGTGCATCGTCCCACCGTCTCCTCAAAACACGTTCCCCGGATTCGCCATCTTCGAAAAGATGATGACGTATAGTTGCTTGTTCGATGTCTGTCAAATCCAGATATGTCTCCTCAGCTTCGCTATATGCTGAGTTGAGAAGCTCAACGACATCTATACCATCAGTTGGGTTAATCCGGGGTATAGTTCGCTGGGTCTTTTCAAGTGCAGGTTTATTAATCTGCTCATCCCCCAAGGCTTTGACGTTACCGGGGTCCCGTTCCTCTAAGATACTTGTACTACTATTGAGAAAGTCGCTAAAGGCAAATTCGATTTGGGCCCCTTCCTCCTGGCTCTGAGCGGATTTGAACGAGCTTGGAATTGACCTTTGCGCTAAGCTACTCCTATCCGTTGATATTTCATCCATACCCGCGCCTCGCCCAAGTCTGGATGATTCTGCTTTGTCTGCGGGCAAGGCGTCTGCTAGAGACCCGCCACTTGGATGCTGTAGGACCATATCGCCAGTGAGTTTACTCGCGGATGCGCTGAGTCGTGATACGAATGAGGTTGTAACCAAACCGGCTTCAACGGAGCTCGAATGCCCATTTTTCTTTGTTGATTCAGACAATGATTCGTCTATATTAATCGCAGTACCTTTGCCCTTGTCTTTGGTATCCTTGGCCATTGCGCTCTCGTGATTATCTTTATCCATCGTGCTTAGGCCTTCTATTCACGTTATCCATGAGGCAGAGGCGCAAGTGGAAATAGTGTGGGCAAGGTTCGGCTTTGGCGATGTAAAGTTTTCCGAATGGAATACAACATTGAATGATGTAGCTCATATTTACCTAGGTACATCATAGGATACTTAGGTGTCAACCTTGGGTCGAGGTTTAGCCGCCTTTATTTGCATGTGACTACAAAGACGTCTATTCGTATGTAAGTTATCTAATCACACACGCACACACACCATATATACCTAGTATAGGTAGGCATATATGGACTTGAGTCCCTCAGAGATATCGTATAGGTACCTCTTTGATTTAAAGCCCAACCACGTATTAGGGTAACATTTTGAAGAAATCCATTGCTGAAGGTCGTGGACTCGTGGTAAATCGTGCCACGTGCGACGCTTCCTGATGTGGTTACAAAGAAGCCGGATTGTCATGTAACGCGGCGCAAAATCATACAAATCTGTGCAGAAGGTTACTTACATGTATTATGTACCTGGGTATGTATCTATTAATATATGGTGGTTGCAACTTGCAACGCATGTTAAATGTAGGGCATGCATTAGGTAAGGTAGGTATACAGAGCCCGCCGCGCCTCCCAGATGAATGTGTCTTGATTTTGTACCACCTATGTCATACGTCGTAAATAAACTTGAAATTATTAAGGCAGGTATGCAGGCTACCCCAAGATGACCATGCTTTTTAGATTGCCTAGTCGATACTTTAGCAGTATGACCATGAACATGGTATTTAAATAAGAGGCATAGGTAATCGTATACTGTTCATTTACGCTAGGGGTGAGTTGGACAGACATGCTAAATCATGTTGTAAGCTTAGAGTAGTGAATTACTAAAATAGTTCTAGGTAATGGTACATGTAGTTAATAGAAAAAGAAAAGATCATAGTACAATACAGTCATGCATGTACATGCATAAGTAGTTGCAAAGTATAGGTAATTATGTATTGCGGTATTCCTTTTCGCTTAAGATAATATCTTACCTACTTAACCTAGGTAGGTACCTTTTAGGTAAGTTATTTTCGTTTATTAAATCACAATTCTGTACGAAGGTTGGGCCAAAAGTCAAGCACATGATAAGTTTTTAGCGCAGGAACTTAACGTGCACAATTATAATAACACTGTATTGGCTTAGTACTAGTTTTAGGGACGGATATTGGTTCATACGCTAAATCCTAGGCGGTTTACCACTATAATTATAGTGGTGCTAGCTGCTATTGGTATAGCTGACAACGTATAGCTTTTTTTTATTAACACATAGTTTACCTCAATTTGAATATGTAAGACTTTTGGCCCTAACTTTGAGGTAGATAAAGTACTTCTGAAGGTAAAAATCTAGACCTACAATGTATATTAAATATAAGCCTCTACCTAGGAATTACCTATGTACTAAGATAGAGCATCTTGTAGCTAACCAGGTACCAAGATACAGCACTGAAGCAAACCAAAATCGGCAGGCCCGCAACTGACATAAGCGGACCACGCAACAGGTAAAGCATCTGAGCATCAATCAAACAATCAAATTACCCTTCCCACTCCTCCCCCAAATTCCCGACCCAGAACTGCCAAACCGCCCAGACCCTTGCCCATAGCCCATAGCCCATAACGTACTACTGCCAGGACCACTCCCAGGACCATAAACTAGCATCACATCACTCACCCCCAAAATACCAACGACTACGCTTTGCCGTCATTTTGCAGCTGCTCGTGTATTCTTTTTTTTTCTCCCATCATTCCCCCCTCCCCCCCCTTCCCTCCTGACAGCCAGCGGGTATTTCCGACCACATTTTGACTGTTGTGCATGACTTTTTGATTGACCCGAAGTCTCATTGTCTGCACATTTCTTGATCTCGCCGACCGCAAAAGTCATTGGGAGCGAGCGCACCAACCAACCGCCTAAGGACCTTCGCATCTTTCCAAACTCCCACGCCGTCAATACGTACAGCACCCCGCCGCCCTAGACCCGCCCCTCCGATTACCTTTTCCCACATCCCAGCCTACCAAGCCTACCTATCTCCAGCAGCCGCAAGATAACTCGACACGCTTCTCGGTCTGTCCTCACCTCAAATCGCGTACCAACCCTCCATCGCCTCATCACCTCATCGCACCATCGCACCATCGCCGAGCCCTCATTAGTACCGGCTGCGATAAGTTACTCTAACCACCTACAACGCACACCTTCTCTGAACCGAGATACGGGTCGGAGCTTAGGTAGCTTCACCCCAGTTTATCGCGAATATGGTGGACGGAGATTCTAACTCTCCCACCTGGAAGTTCACCCAGTAAGTTTGCACAAAGGACCTTCAACGAACTTTCTTTAGATTCGTAGCTTTTATTGCTACCCTTCCCTTCGACCTGCAGGCAGCATATCAACCCTCATGCATATGCCCTACAACTGTCGGCTATCTACTCGATAACAATTACTAACTCCCGCCGCTCGCTTCTAGGTGTTTCGGTGACAAAGGAGATGTTGAGGATATCACAGAAGGTAAATTTTATATGTGTTTTTCCTAACCCAAAGACATTTCGTGGGGCTTCCCCGAGCTACGTATAGCACAGTCCCTCGAATCCTCTCCCATCAGTAAACGAGACAGGCTCTGTGTGCGCATGCTTACATGAGATTCTTAGCTGATATCATATCAACCGTCGAGTTCGACCATACTGGTAATTACTTAGCAACAGGAGACAAAGGTGGCCGAGTTGTTTTATTCGAGAGGAATGAGACGGTTAGTTTTGATACCTTTTACAATGTCCCGAAGAGAAATTCGGTCTGATATAGTGTGCAGAAAAAAACTTGTGAATATAAATTTCACACCGAATTCCAGTCACACGAGCCAGAATTCGACTACCTCAAATCCCTGGAAATCGAAGAGAAGATCAACAAGATTAAGTGGTGCCGTCGTCAGAATGCTTCTCACTATTTACTTTCCACCAACGACAAGACGATCAAACTATGGAAGGTTTTTGAGAAGTCACTGAAAGTAGTAGCCGAGAACAACTTATCTCACGACCTAACGCCCGGCAATGTTGCTGGTGTTGGAGGAGGAGCCCCCAGGGCTCTTCATCAGTCACACTTCAAAAATGCCGGAGAGTTGAAGCTGCCACGATTGACGCATCACGATACTGTCGTTGCTGCGGTTCCCCGGCGTACATATGCAAATGCTCACGCTTATCACATCAACAGTATCTCGGTCAACAGTGACGGAGAGACCTTCATAAGCAGCGACGACTTGCGGATCAACCTCTGGAATCTTAATATTCAGGACCAAAGTTTCAATATTGTCGACATCAAGCCTGCGAATATGGAGGAGTTGACTGAGGTCATTACTGCTGCCGAATTCCACCCCATAAGCTGCAATTGGTTTATGTACGCGAGTTCGAAGGGTACCATTAAGCTAGCAGACATGCGAGAAAGTGCTCTTTGCGACCAGCATGCGAAACGTATGAGTCCCTATCTATGCTCAGTTCACAAGGGCACCCTCAGCTAATAGCATCCTTTAGTTTTCGAACAAGAAGAGGACCCGTCATCGAGATCATTCTTTTCAGAAATCATATCCTCCATTTCGGACGTGCGCTTCTCATATGACGGTAGATACATCTTATCTCGAGACTACCTCACTGTGAAGATCTGGGACGTCAATATGGAACGTCAACCAGTCAAGACCATACCCATTCATGAGCACCTTAGACCGCGGTTATGCGATACGTACGAGAACGATAGTATCTTCGACAAGTTTGAAGTTGTTTTCTCGGGCGACGCCAAAAATGTCATGACTGGAAGTTACAATAACAACTTCATGATCTATCCTTCGGATCCCGAGAAGGAGATCGAGGTTGTTCTACAGGCGGACAAATCGGCCTTCAAGGCGAAGAAAGTAGGTATCCCGACGCCTATCAATTCGTCGACGAGCCCCACAGCGACCAACGGCGGTAAGAAGGGCGGATCGCGTGCAGGTAGCCCGGCGGCCGGTGCGGGTCAAGGACAGAGGATGCGGAAGGAGACGGACGCAGATCAGATCGATTTTAACAAGAAAATCCTGCACATGAGCTGGCATCCGTTCGAGGACAGTATCGCAATCGCTGCCACGAACAATGTAAGCCATCATACCCAAATACTCTTCAAGTGTCAGCGATGGCTAACATGATACAGTTATTTGTCTTTTCGGCCCTCTAAAGGCGTAACGGTGCTCTCCGGTAGCGGCCGGATATTTCGCAGCCCGGCGTTCCTGCTCTGCGGAAGAACGTCCCGATTCGAAGTGCGGTAGAGATGTGCGTCGTCATTGCCAGTAGTCTGTCTCCTTGATGGTTGCGCGGTCCTTTCTGGACTTAGATGACTATTTGTAGTATTTATGAGACTGCTGGCTTACCCAACAAAAGTGGATGCGTTGTAAATGAGAAGACGTTGGGTTTACGACACAAAAGGTAAAATATGCATACGGGAGGGTTGACTTTGCCCTAAGCCTAGCATACCAGGCGGTTGGGAATTGTAGTAAAGACATGTTGGGAGGACTGAAGCATGGCCATTCAGCAACGGAATCCCACAAGGAGCCAGTTGCATCTATGTCGGCGGACATGGGGCCCAATATCATGGCATAGACTCTACAAGGCAGACTAAAGACCATAAGACGGGGACTCAAGACGAATGAGATCTGAAGCATGTATAATTGCATTCCCCAGCCCGCTGTTAGTGTTTGATGAGTTTGCTCACATGTAAACCCCTCGTGAACATAGCAACCGTGCATTTGTAGTCAACAACAAGCCCACCAGCCCACCATCTTTCAATGGTTTGGTAGTTGTTGGAAGTAATTTAGCTAGTTCCTTGTGCAACCAAAAAAATGGCATAACTCTTCGTTAGAAGTGTGAGGGGGGGGGGGGGGGGGGGGGGGGGGGGTAGGTGGTTATAACGATATCTAGAAGGGGTGAATAAAAGGTAATGTAAAAGTAGAATAAATA